ATTGGTCTCCTGTGAAAATTCGTCAAAATTTTTATCAAGATGAAATAGTAAATTGTAGATTTGCTTCCCATTATAGCTGGGACTCTTCTTGTTTAATCCACTGTCATTACTGCCCTTCAGTGGCAGTTTGTCATGTGTTGTAGGGAGTATTGACCTTTTAAGCCACCTGTGAAGGTAGTGCTGACTGCTCTTGGGGGGGTTTCCCCTTCTCATTTGTCTTGCCATAATCAACATGCCAGAATTTATGTCTCAAGGTGAATGTTCAGTTAAAATTAAATGGGATTCCAGCTACTTAGTACATTGTAGAAGGCCACATCCTGCTGAGCTTCACAACTTTTAGAGAGTCAGTAGGAAATGGTTAAATCTTTTTGTCAAAAGACATGTGAGAGATGTCAAAAACAGAACCTGCCAAACCTTTGTTATAGAGCCCTGAGCTTAAGGACAATTTAGGCAAAAATGGAATGTGGGTGGTTTGGACCAAGAATTCCTACCCTCCTTCCGTAACCTTCCGTCCATCAGCTTATTAGCCCATACTCCTCTTTGTGCTCACCCCAAGTCAGGCTTGACTTAGATGATGAAATGCATGAGCTATCTTTTCATCTTCCAAGCAAATGGAATATGCTGTTTGCAGTAATTAAGAGAATGAGGAGCTCATTGTGCAACTGCTTTGGTGATGGTGACAGTGAACTTGAGGAGCAGGGGTGGTGTCCTATTTAATCTTTACCTCACCTGCCCAAGCAAAACCATGCAAACAAATACAACACTTCCTTGTGGTGGCCTCACATCACTCTCCAGTGCCCTTCAGACTGTGACACTCCTACACACAGTGTTCTGCCCCATCGGCTTTCCTCCCTACCCTCCAGGGACAGCCAGTCCTACTCATACCAAAACACTCATCCTCTGTCCACCTTCCCATTCTTCTCAGACCCTCAATCCATGGTTGGTAGGGCATACTTCTTGTGCCCTGTGTAGGAGCCTTGTTTCTGTGCCTTTTAGTTGTCCCTGGGTGGATCTTTCCAGGGAGGAACCAGATGAATGAGGTAGGAAGTGCTTTCTTGTGATTATCAGTTCTAGTCCTAATCCATTGTTTACCTTTGTCTCAAGTTGCTGTCTTCTTTACCTGACTCTGGTTTTATAAGAAAAGAATCCATGCCATTGTGTTAATAGGACAATGAGAGTCACCTTCCAAATTCAGAGAACAAACTGGGCATGTTCTCCACAGGAACAGTAAGTCTTTCCATGTGAATTCAAGTAGAGAGGACTAAGAGGAAGAAGCACTTTGTGAAAAGTGGGTGTTGGTTTGACTTTGAGATTGGATTATGGGCAGGGCAAAAGGACTCTACTTCTCCTTGGGTGAGGCTGAAAGAACGCATTTGAGGATGGAATGCTGAAACTTGAGTTCATAACTCAGGTTTCTTTAGTGTTGTTTTTGTGGTCATACACCTATGTCCCTAAGGGAGAAAACTTTTTATGAGGCCAAATGTTAGAAATAGGATAAATTATGAGAGAGTTCTGCTAAAGAAGTGGCATTGTTTTGTTTTACCTGATAGGTCATCCCCTGTTTTTCCCTTAGGTAACTCTGCCCAAGAAAAGCAAACCAGAATTGACTTAGTCATGCTGGTGAAAGGGAAGAAATGTTTATTTTGCCTAAATGATGCTTCCATTATTTTAATCATTTCATGGATAAATGAGTAGGTGTGGTCATGAACACCTGGGGAGCCTGACTCATGCTCGAATGCCTTAAGCTTCTCCTTTCCTGGGCAGAAAAATGCATGAGACACCCAGATGAATAAATAATCACCATAGAGTTCAGTGCAGCATTTTGCACCATGAGAAAATGACATGAACAATCAAAGCACACTACATTTGTTATTATTAATGGAGGTAGTACCCTGTATTGTGTAATTTATGCAAATACTCAGAGGGCCAGCCCTCTGGAGCTTCCTTATCTTGGGATTCAATACAGATTGTAGAGCTGTGTGTAGCTCTAGCATGCACAAGGCCCTGGGTTCAATCCCCAGTACTCCCCTCCACACACACACAGATTGCATTTCATTTATTAGGTATCAGCTACCTAAAGCAATAAGATAAGGTGATACTCAGAAGTACTAGAAGTGGTAGTTTTGAGATAGACAGACCTTCCCCTCCCCCACCTGGATATTCCATAGAACATCTCAGTAGAGTCCCAAATTTAAAAAGTATCAATATATATATAGATTTAGGTATTGGGGCTTAAATGCAGAATAAATTGCCCCTTTATCCTAAGAATGTTAGCAACAAATTGTTTTATGAGTCCAAGCTCCTAATTCTTTTTTTTATTATTTATTTTTTAGTTTCCGGTGGGTACAATATTTTATTTTTAGGTGATGCTGAAGATCGGCCCAGTGCCTTATGCATGGGAGGCAAGCGTTCTACTACTTAAGCCACAACCCCAGCCCCTATTTCTTATTCTTCTTCTTTTTTTTTTTTTGTTTTTTTTCAAGAATGTATTTTATTTTATATAATATTTATATAATATAATTTATTTTATTTAATTTAATATATTTTGACATATTTACATGGAATATAACTTCCCATTCTTATGATTGTACATGATGCGGAGTCACACTGGTCGTGTGTAAGTATAGAGATTTATTTCATGTACACATGAAAATCAGGTTTGATCTGTATTCTATAAACTCTGGTTTTGTTATTTGGGGGGCATTTCATGTTTGATAGCTCCCTGTTTGACTTTTGAGATTTAAGAAAGTTCCACATCTGTGATAATTTTAATGCCATCCCTAGCTTCATGTTGAAGATTGATGGATTATCAAAGGCACTTTTGATTGTATAGTGTGCTCAGATTATTCATGGCATTTGTCAGTGAGCTATGCCTCCAATTATTTAAATAAAACCCATCTTCAGGTTTTACTTATACATTTATTTTTGAGATTCTTTTGGATCATATTTTTGGAATGACAGTTGCATCTTTTTTTGATAGACTTTAACTGGTACAATTGTGACATTTTTGTTTATGTTTTTATTTTTTCTGAATCTGAATTGTTGGCTATTTTGCTTTCTGGGTTTTTCTATTTGGTTCTTCGGAAACTTCAATTGTTAAAGGTTTTCCTGAAGCAATGTCATATTTCACTGGATAAGATGGTCATTGGATTGCTACTGATATTGATACAGATATCTTATTTATTTTATTTTCATGTATAAACATTAATAATTAAATGTTAAGAAAAATCTTTATGAATTATATAAATAAAATAGTAAATATATAGAATACAAATAGCCTTTTTAAATATAATTAACCCGATTTTCAGTTAATTTGCTCAAACAAGTTTGCTAAGATTTCCAGGATATAAGTTTGTCATTTATAATTTGTTTTATTAACATCAGCTAGTTAATAAGTCTAGTATTCCATTACTGAAATGGAATGAGACATTAATTTAACACTAAATATATTATATAGTATCTTTTAAAAACAATCAGACTATTTGATTTAATGAGGATGAATTTAATAGGTTGAATACAGTTCTTGATAGATGAGTTGATAATATCACAATCCACCTTCATAATTAAGTATCAAGGGTCTATTCTTATTCAACAACTTCTTTAAGGCTAAGTAAACATGATCATAATTAAACTCAGATAATACTAGAAAATGTTGATTGCTACAGTCAGGAAAATAAAAAATTCAGCCTGACCTTAAGAAATTATGAATGTGAATGTTGACAAATGATAATAAGGAGCAAACACCTAAGAAAGAGGACAGGCTCCCAAGTCAATATTGCTAGAAGAAATTGAGTTTGGGTTTGAAATGTATTCCTTGAATATTTAGAAATGTCCCTTTTAAATATTTTATCCAAACCCTGAAATGTGTCAACTCTTGTACCTATTAGGAGTCAGGGGAACATTCCTGTTTCTGGAACCTGGCATAACAGAGGCCTGGCCTGAGTAATAATAGCATCACACTAAACTGTTAATGATGGTTGAGGGCAGCCCAGTAGGGGATGGTGGAGTCTTGACACCCTGAACACTGTTACAGAGGAGGTGAGGGACGTAACTTGTCGGGGGGTTATCCCCTTTTTCTAACTACTGTACTGGTGATGGAGAACAAAGTGCCCATCTGCACTGAAGGAGAGCCATCCAAAATGGGATAACACCCACTTCACTGTCAATGGTTTTGTGTTTGCCTATTCTTTGAGCCTTGAGAAAGTTACTTTGGAATTGAATTAGCCATTTTTTAACCTTCTACTAGCAGAAACAGAAAAAGTGCTTTGTGGCCATGTATAGTAATTTATTTCTATTTACTGGGTATTCAAGATACAACCAGTAGCTAGCATGCTTGTAAAGGGCCATCAGTATTATCTTAAAGGTACTAGAATCTGTTTTGTGATTCCAAAACATGTACCTTAATGAAGAATTTGAATTCAGTGTGCAAGATGAAAAATGAATGAGTGGTGAAGAACATTTATCTTAGGCATCGGCTGTGCTATTGACAAAAGGCACAAATATGAAATTTGTCTAAATAATTAGATTTTTAATTAGTGCATCATTGTAAGATTAATGTCATTGCGCTTCATTGCATGTAATTTTCTATTAGAAATTTCATGTCAACAAAGATGCTACCTGTGGTTTGCTGATTTGAATCCTTAATTTATCACTTGTGCATATGGCATGTCACATATTTGCAGACAGGAGCTGAAAGAAGGCATGTGATTGTAGCTTCACTGGCAGTGAGGAATATTGATGGTATTATGCTATATGAATGCATTACAGTTTCTAATATTCAGTTGACTGCCATCCCTTGAATATTAGTGGATAATTAGTAATTTGCAATAATGTTAGCAATAGCATGAGCAAATATTCCAGGTGGTTCAAACTAGTCTGTTCCTCCCTTGGACATGCTTGAACATTGTTAGTGCTATATTCTCCCTTAAAACTGGTTTTTCTTTTGAATATTGTTAGTGCTATATTCTCCCTTAAAACTGGTTTTTCTTTCCTTTTGACAGTTGCCGAACAAGCAACCGGAAAAGCTTGATAGGCAATGGACAGTCACCAGCATTGCCTAGACCACACTCGCCTCTCTCTGCTCATGCAGGTAACTGATCATCATTTCTTGAGGGTTGTCTTATTTCTTTTTTTTAACTTCTTAAAAGAATTCAGGCCTTTTGAGATCCAGTTGTGTATTTGCATCTATCTTCGTTTGCCTATTGTTTTATCAATCACTAAGTTATTCTTTTCAAAATACAGAATTCCTTTTTACATATGGTCCTTCTTCAGTTATTACTTTTTTCCTTTTATAAATTTTCAGATGATGTGAGACATTTGAAATATGCTTGGGTAGATATGGTAGCTCATATAAAGAGGATAAGTGTTGAGAATTATTCAGTGTGTTTCTCCCTAAGCTTGAACTTGTCTATTAGATGGACATTGTGAGGATGATGAAGATTCAACATATGAGGCCATGACTTCAGATACTTTATAGAACTATAGGGATGTGAGGGACATAGTACAAAAACTCTGCAATGAATGCTTTGTTGTTGTTGTTGTTTGCTTTGCATGCTTTTAAATCTCAAGTTAGTTTTTTATCTTTAGTTCTACCTAACGTGATTCAAAGAAGAGAAAGGTTAATTCCAATTAGGAAAGTCAGGGAGAAATAGAAGGAGCTGCTTGCTCAATATGTTAAAAGATGGTCAAGGTTTTGGCAGGTAGAATTGAAATGAAAGAAATAATTCCCAGTATATGGCTAGAGTAGGGGATGTACATGCTCGATTTTACAGAGAACTTGAAGAAAGAAAGGCAGATGAAGGTCAGGGAGTTGAAGGGCTTTTGACATTGAGCTTCCCAGGATTTTGAGGAAGATCTGTGTTTCAGGAAAGGGTCTTCAGGACTGTGAAGGATTAGGGTTGAAAGAGTGAGTGTAGCCTGATTTCCATGGTGCTCTTGGGAAAACTATAGTTTGACACTGATGGGCTCTTGGATGCACTTGGTTTCATATTTAAATGTCAGCCTGTCACTGACCCCCCACCAAGGCAGGAGTCACTCCAGTTGAGGGTGAGAGTTGACTATTATGGTTGGAAGAAGAAGAGAGAGTTGATCCTCTGGAATGACATATTATTTTACCCACAGCAATCACTAAAAGCTGGTAAAATAAAAACATAAAAGATGAGTTGGTAAAATTGTGGTACTATAAAATGACCACTAACATCCATAAATGCTTTTCCCAGGAAGAACTTTAGAGAAGCTCTTGGCACTTGCAAGGATGTGCTTGAAACTCTGCAGAATAGCATCATAGGTAATAGTCAGTCATTTGAAACAACCTAAATCTCCATCAGTTGGGAAATAGCTAAATGAACTATAGCATAGTCATATGTGAAAAACACACAAATGAACTAGCCCTACACATTTCTGCTTGGATGAAATTCACATGAATGTTGGGCAACAAAAGCAAATTTCAGAACATTGCTCAAGCCATTTGTATAAAGTTAACATGGCACTACATACAATATTTTATTTAGGCATATATGTTTATATGTTATATATGTTGTGTATTTTACAACAGTATCTGCATATTTTAAAATGGTACATAAATATGTTTGTAATGAGAGTTTAAAGGAAAACACTGATTTATTATTTACTTCTAAGAAGTGTGAAGAGGGGGGAATAATTGGGGTAGGGAGCACAAAGTTGGTGATATTATATTTCCAAAGTTGTAATGAACACACAATTATTTATGTTATTATCATTTATACTTTTGAAAATTCCACTAGATCACTGTAACAATAGTAAAGCCGATAAAGGGTCAAGCAAGGATAAATTGTATTTTTCCTCCTAAGCATTGTATTTTTCCTGCACTCGGTGCAGAGCCTCGCAGTATTACTGGATGCTAAGTGAGTGATGAATCTGTTTCTTATTTACAATTCAATAGTGATTCAAGAAATATAATCTTAGCTGGGCACGGTGGTGCACACCTGTAATCTCAGTGGCTCAGGAGGCTGAGGTAGGAGGAGTCTCATAAGCTCAAGACCAGTCTCAGTAACTTAGCGAGGCCCTAAGCAACTTAGCAAGACCAAGACCCTGTCTCAAAAGAAAAAATAAAGGGATGGAGACATGGCTCAGTTGTAAGCACTCCTAGGTTCAATCCTTGGTACCAAAAAAAAAAAAAAAAAAAAAAAAGAGAGAGAGAAAAAATTTAATCTTACTCCTCTTTTGGTTGTGTTTAGCAATAATTTCACTATCCTTTATGTGACCGTTGATTAGTCTTTTATTGCTGTGATTTTCTTCAGTTCTAATGTGGAAAGGGAAGTAAATGTGGGTAAGACTTTAATGATTCTGTTAATTATTTTTCTTTTCTCTGTGTTCTTAGCTCAAATGATTTTCCCATCAGTGTTAATTTTTGAACTTGATTGGGAAAGTGGTCAGAGAGAAGCCTGTTGCATAGAGTGTGAGAGTATTTTTCTTCATATTTTGGAGCCATCAGCTTCTTAGAGGCAGTGCAAGTGAGTTTTTGTGAGAAGTGCCATTTATCACAGTCTGGTAGGTTCCTATTTTTGCAGAGGAAGAAGAAAATATAAACTGAGGTGCAGTCCTCATGTCTTGATCACAGGCAGTGGCTGTGACTCATGATACCTGCCACATCTCTGACTCTCCCTCTGTTGTCTCTATCCTGTGGGGATTCCTCAATATCTCCCATGTCTCTTCGGACACAGGAGAAAGAAAAGCCACTGCCTCTCAGCACTCATTAGTCTAGAACTCAGAGCTACACTTTATGTTGTTCTTTGTTGGATTGTAATCTTTTCTTGATTGTATGAGCCCAGCCACCCCTCGGTGGCACATGGATCACTAGAAATGGGCACATAAATTATTTGTGTATGTGTATTAGGAATGCTCTGAGCAAAAACAGATATTGGCCTAGTATTCTGGAGCAGATCTTCACACACATTTGAGGAGCCGGGGGTTTCTAAAAGAATAGTAGACAGAACATTTTTTAAAAAGAAAAGTAAAGCTGGGTGTGCTGGCACATGCCTGTAAACCTAGCAATTCAGGAGGCTGAGGCAGGAGGATTGAGAGTTCAAAGAAAGTCTCAGCAACTTAGCAAGGCCCTATGCAACTCAGCAAGATCCTGTCTCTAATAAAACATAAAAAAAGGCTGGGGATGTGCCTAGATGGTTAAGTGCCCCTGGGTTCAATCCCTGGTACCAAGGGAAAAAAAAGAAAAGTAGAAAAATCACATGTGTTACAGGAAGTTTGTAAGCATGAAATACAATCCTGAAGTCCCCAATGAAAGGCTGTGTATGTCTCATAAATTAAAAATCTGTATAAAATAAGCAAAATAAAAAGAAAACGAAGTGTGAAAAGTATTTGTGTATCCATAAATGACTGCCCATCTGAGTGCCTTAGTATAGAAGTAGCTTGTCTAAATTGATATGAAGTGGTGAATGAACCAACAGAAATGTGCAAAAGGCGTGAATATCATGTCATGAAAAAGAAGGCCCACAAAACATGAAATTTTATTTCATTGTTCTCATAAAACAAAAGTGAACCAGGATAATGAGATAGTATCATTGTCCCATAATGATAAAATTGATAATTGATAAAATCCCAACATTGCAGAGATGTAGGGAAGCAGTCCCTTTTACATGGTGTGTTAATATGAATAAATAAAACCATTTGGTTAGTGGTTTGTAGGGTTGATTAAAGTTTCAAATTCATTTACCCCTTGACCCAGTGAATCTATATAAATGAATTTATCTTACTGATATTCTCACAGAAATAACATCTTAACTGTAACATTGCTTATAACTAGAATGGAAAATTGTTGCCAGTTTTTTATTTAACTTGTCCTTCAGTGATGGACTGCTCATGTGTAGAATGATTCAGGCATAATAGCTGTACTTGGTTGTTATATAGAATGTGGTGAGCTTTTATGTGGTGGCAATGGAAAAGATACCCAAGATAAATTGTAAGTACTAAGTTGTCTTTTCATGTTCATGTGCTTTAGAGTGCACATACACACACACACATACACTCTGGTGTGCTCATGCATATTCATAGAGCATTTGTGAGATTGAGATTGTTACCTGTTTATTTGGGGGAATATGAAGGTAGGAAAATTAGCATGTAGTGCTTTTGTTATTAAAAAAAATAAGGTTCTAAAAACAATATTTACAGTAGTTTTCTGTTACTATATAAGAGATCACTAAAAAATTAGTGGCTTAAAACTGTGCACTTATTAATCTTGTAGTTATGTAGGACAGGGATTTGGGAAGCTTGCTTGAGTTGTCTGCTCAGTGCATCATAGGCCAGAATTAAGGTGGTGGTTGGGCAGACTCTTATCTGTAGACTGGGAAAGAAAGCACTGCCAAGTGTATGTAGGCTGGGGAAAGCCTCAGAGAGACTGAGTGCTGCCTGACCCCATCCTGCCTGACCCCAAGGCTGCTCTCAGCCTCCAGAACTGCCCTTCTCATCCTCAAGCTAGCAAATCATACATCCAGGCATTCTCTTGCTTCAAGTCTGACATCTCCTCCTTCTGTCAGCTGGAGAAAACTTACTCTGTTGAGGGAATGTCTTTAAAATTCTGCCTAGCACAATATCACTTCCATACTGAATTTTAATTCAGATTGTTAGAAGTGTGAGCTTTGAGTGATATTTAGTCATCAGACTACATGGAGATAAGTGAGACTCATAAGATAACCTGAGGCTTTTAAAGTCCTAAAGTATCAAATGTAGGCAATCCTATGGGCCAAAATATTTATTCCTGTTTCTTCAAATTTGTTCTACTGGGAATTTGCAGGTGACTATTTTGATTCTTTTATAAGAGGGTTTCTGGGAGGAAAGAAAGGAGTCTTACTGTCTTATTAGGAAACTCTTAAGAATTATCAAGGAAATATACATAAATCTCCAAGTCTATGAAGATATGTAACTTTTGGTTAAAAAGGGATTCCATTCCTGAATGTTTACTTGCTACTGTATTTACTTGCTACTGTATCATGTCCATCTTTAAAAATACTTGCTACTGTATTTGGTGCAACTTGGTTCACTAAGCTCCTCCTCAAAGATCTAACTGAGCTAAAGGAGGCTCAGGGAGGTGAAAATAAT